ATGATGCTGGCAGCAAAGTGAAGCTTACAAAAGTCCTGTGCTCAGGAGCAGGTGAGCAGGGACTTTTGTGACCATTGCTAAGCTTTTGGAACATTCTGCTTAGTAACTACAGCCACAGCATGGGGACACCAGGATGAGAGTTCCTGTCAAGAGCACAGCAGGGATGAGCCATGGCAGGGAGTGGAAGGAAGGAAGTGTGGTAGGTGAGATGCCTTCAGGACTTGTGCTGTGCAGGGGGGTTCTTGAAGAGCTCGCAGTTGATCTGGGCATTGCTTTGACTTGAGTTTCCTGAGACAGACCCCTCTGAAGCTTTGACATTTCCTACTTGSTACTGGAGTGTCAGGAATCCCCAGCAGCTGTGGAGCTCTGCTCCAGAGGAGGGATCAGCTACAGTGAGGTCCACGAATGGGGTTTGGGAGAACAGGCATTGAGATGTTTGGCACACGGGAGCGTCAGACAGCAAAATCACCTTTTTCCTTGTTGGGGAGCCTGCTCCTCCTCCATAGGGATCTTAAATGCTGAGCTCGTACGGGCTGAGGAGGTGTAGCTGCCTCCTAAATTTTGTTGGAAAGTCAGGGAAAGGGAGCAAGATTCTYAAAGGGGATGTGATCACTGAGATTGGTCTTTAGAAACAAAAGTAACAGTTGATGGAGATCTGTTCAAAATGCACAAAGTGTTCCTGAATTCCSAGTGCTCAAACCAGCCACTGCAGGGCTCTAATTGCACATACCTTGAAAAGCACCAGCCCAGGCACATTGAATCTGAATTTACTGACAAATAGAACATGCACCTTAGGAGGGAACTCCTCCCAGTTCTGACAGCTACAGCCTGGAGTGGTGCTGGMGCCAGCACCAGCTGGGATGTGACACAGAGGGAAACACAAATTCCAGACCCGCAGTACTGTTCTAGTAAGATCTGCTGATTAATGCAAAGATATTGCAGGAGRATTAGAAAAAGATTTTTATGCCCATTTCATCCTTAAATTCCCATGCTGATATTTAACCAAATGAATAAAAAATGGTGGKTAGCACGTGGAAGATGGCACAGTTACCTGTGCCTAAACTTCCGTGCTGGTCCTGTCTGGAGCAGGAAGCTGTGACTGGAGGCTGACTGGGCAGGTCCCCTGGAGAGCAGGTTGGAACCAGACTGGCTTCAATCTGAGTGCAAGATCTGGAAATGTCATCTGGCTTTCATGCTTTGGGCTGTAGTCAGGAAGGACACCAGAAAATCTTAAACAGTATTAATTCTGCAGTTTGGCAGCGGTGTTCTGATCAGAACTGGGTTTCATTTAATACATCCAGCATTACCAAAATAGTGTTACCGATGAGTTTAGAATAAAAGGGGTACAATTACAAAGCCAGCATTTCTAAGGAATAAAACCAAAACTCTAGTGCCTTTTTCTTTTGAGCTTATGATGTTATGTCCCTTCAAAAAAGGTAAGGGCTATGTCCTCTGGGATGTAATACTTTGTTTGGCTTATCTGTAAGTGGTTTGTTGTGGCTTACTCGAGACAAAAGTGTCTCTTCTTGGCAGCAGTGGAGCTAACTGCAATGTGCTGAGTAGCTTTAATAACCACTTCCACCCTATATGCATGTACAAGCAGCACTTAAGTTCATAAGGTATAAACCCTTGGTTATTTTCTCTGTTCTAYTCSTGTGAGAAGAARCTCCRTCTTTCTTTTCAGCRTTCTAGTTAATTTGGTTCTTCCTGTAATTTGTTACCTAACTGCCATAACATGGTGTTATGAAGCTTCAATTCTGCATGTAGCTGGAGGTTTAAGAGAATTGCTTTGGTTTTGGTTCTTCTACGTTTTCCCCTCAAAACTGTGATTTTCATATTTCTACACTGTTTTGGCACATCTAAGTTTAACTGAAGCAATAGCGTAAAGCCCATCTGAACAATAACTTAGGAAAAAAATCTAGGCACCAATGAGTCATTTAAACGTTGAAGTGAATTCTGCATTTACACTTTGTAGCTTCTTAATTCCTCAACCCCTCCAAAATGTTTCTTTGGTGCTAGACGTAACTTATTGAACATCAAAATGAATGTAAAATAAAGTATTTTTAATGTATGCAATATGGAAATCAATATTTATTTTGTACTTGCAAGCTAACTCAAGGTGGTAAATGTTTGCTTTAGCAAATATTAGTCCCTTGGAAAGGGCTTCCCTAGAAGCAATGTCTCATTGTCAGCTATGCTTTTAATTTTAAAGGTGACTTGCACTAGAGGATGCTGCTGTTCCATATTTCACGTGGAACAGATTTAGTCTAAGCATTCCTTTGCTATGAGCTGCTGGTTTTGTTTGATTGCTTGTAAGTTGAGATGCAGTTAATGTTAATCCAGCAACTTACTACAGCTGTGCTGCTTCTCTTCTGTGGTGAAGGGGCTGAGATGGCAAAGAGCTGTTTCAGTTTGTATCTTGTGTTGATCTGGAAGTGCTTCCTGTACTGTACAAATAACCCAGCCTTCATGTTGCTAATGACAAGGTGTTTTATATGCTTAATGCTCTTGACTTTTCTAATTAAAGTTATTACTAATGRTARTATCTGTCTTAACAGCATTGATGTAAGCCTCTGAAAAAKTAACACTCTCTAAAGTGTTCAAAATACTGATCCTGTGCTCTGGGTAGGGGCTGTGCTGTGTGTCCCATCCCAGCACTGTGTTGGAGGGAGCATCAATCTCCATTCCATGTGCACTGCCCGGTGCAGGGCTCAGATGCTGCAGTGTTCTGGCTACAGCCCCTCCTGCCTCCTGTTCCATGGCAGGCCCAACAATCAGTAACAGCAGGGGTTTTTGGCTTGCACTATTCTGTGACCATGAACTGCCTTGTAAATCACACAGGCTAAGCACTCTGCCATTCTCTTGTGCTGCCACTGCATCTGATTCCTTTGCAATTGGAACAGACTTCATGAACCTCTTGGTTTACTATCTCTTCTCACAAAATGTTTTTTTGGATGTGCCCTAGTCACTCTAAAGTGACAACACATTAAATACTGTGAAGCAAGATACCCCATGAGTATGTTCAGCTCTCAGCTTCTTTCTTCCTCAAAGGGAATGTTGCAATCATATGAAGTTTACTGGTGTGGCTGTGCCAGACACACAAACAACCTGTTCTGAAATCACACAAAGCCTAACTGATGTTGTGCACACAGAATTTTACTAGATTTTTGCATTGTATATTGGTAAATAAAYTTACACKAAAGTTTCTTTCCATTATTGATTTAACAATAATCTAGCCTGGGCAACGAGGAAAATGGCTTAAATATTTGCAATAACAAGTGGAGATGCATTGTAACTAAAYGTGATGGGTGGAAATGCAGTGTTTAYRAAAGAGATAGTACTGGTGGTAGCTTTRTTGGCTGCTTAAATTTCAGAACTGCTTTCCTCATTTATTTGATTTCCTCAGTGCTCCTGGCTGTGGTACGGCAGAGTGCACAGGTGCTTGGAGAACTCCACAGACTGCCCCACTTCATGCCAAAGCCTCCCTGAGGGCAGGCCAGGGGAGAGGAACCACTTAGATGAGATACTCAATTACCAGCTTCAAAGATGAACCTTGTGCTGAACATTTAACAGGAACTTTTTTAAGAACACCCCAAATGAAGTAATGTGGTCCAAAAATGACTGTGTGAGGCACTTGAAGYTCATTAACAAAATCTTCATCTGCTAGGGAAGAAGTTTTAACTCCCTAATGGAAAAACTCCTATACTAAGGAAGTTATTACTACATTTAGTTTTGACCAAAGGGACTGGGAAGGGACAAAACAATACAGGACAGTTCCTAAAAAGTATTTAAAATGGACCCTGGTCCCTTTCTGGCATCAGTTGAGAATGGGTCCTGATCAAAGGGCAACAAAACCATTTCTTCAATCCTGCTTACACAGGTACAGTGGGCTCTTAAACCCAGATGGAAGGAAGTTGCTTCCAARTTCAGCTTCAGTATGTGGAATCCCTTTTTCCACCTGTATTTTTAAATTCAATCTTCACATTTTTTTCCCCGTACTTGATTCATTTAAAAAATTTAACATTACAGTTGTCTTCACASGCACACACCAAAAATTACTCTTCCTCTGCCCCATTGAAGCGTTCTTAAGAGTTGAGAAAGAATGAGTTCTTAAATACATTAACATGACTAWTCTCCAAACAGCTACATGTATTTAGGCTGTTCCTAGTTAACTGTTGGCCCATGAGGCAAACCAGCACTGCAAAAATGTCTCAAGGAAGGAGGAATCACTTGTCACCATGAAGTCTAGTGTTCAGTAAGCTCTTGGCAACTCTGCATCTCAACCACAAAAAAGTAATCAATATCTGACTAAGAAGCTCCTTAATCCACAATAACCAGAAACAYGGTAAAAGATTCAGAAGCACTTACTTACTTTTTACCAGGGCCTAGTAACTTCCCTAAATTTGAAGATTCTGTCCTGTGTGTTATTASTACCAGTTTTAAGGATACAAAAATAGGTGTTTTGTCAGTTGTGTAATGTGCCAGGTTCCACCCACTCCTATCCAGGTGGCCAGACAGATGTAGGACAAAACGCTGTTAATCATGTATTGTATTTTAGSCCAATTCTGCAGGATTGGGAGCAGCAAGTGGAGTTAGACATGGCAAAAGCTGCAWAGGGARAAGTTCTGGTACAAYCTARGGTGCAAACTGTRWAWRTRWRARAWA